GCAAAACAACATCACTTAGCCTTGTTTTCAACTCACAATTCCATGCTAAATACCTTGCTTCATTAATCAATCAGAATGCAAGATTTTATTCAATGATACCATTCTACTATAGATAACTTAGTAGCCTTGTTTTTGCAGAACATACTTGTTTTTCCTGCTCAGATTTATGGCCTGCATGCTTTGCGCTTGGGCCATAAGTCTGAGCAGAAAAAACTCAGCCCATAACTTACAATCCAGAACTTAAGAGTCACCTCCAAATGGTTTCATGACTGTGGTCTGACCCTAAACTTGGACAAATGTAAACTCCTAGTTTTGCCCAAGCGAAAAAGTGATGTAGTAGAACTGGATATTGATGGTTTTCAAGTCAAAGCGACCGATAATGCGGAACTCTTAGGGGTTGTAATTGACAATAAGTTAAATTTTAAGATTCATATATCTAAGTTAATTAAGAAAGTAGGTAAACAAATTGATATACTTAATCGATTCAAACACATTCTTTCGTTTTCGTCAAAGATACGTATGTATAGGGCATTTATCATGCCTCACTTTAGTTATTGTAGTTTTATTTAGAATAGCTGTCTCAAAAAAGATAAGTGACCGATTAGAGAGATTACATGAGAGGGCCCTTAGATACGTGTTTAATGACTTTTCCAACAGATATGATAGTCTATGTTATAAGATTGGTTACTCATTAAGTTGCAGACGGAAACAAGATAGGCTTTTAATAATTTTTAAAGCCCTCTATAACAATATGCCTCAGTATTAATATTAAAATCTTTATTTCAAGTAAGAGAAAATAAGAACAGTCTTAGGGGCAAAAACAAACTTGTTTTACCTGTAGCTATGACCACAACTTACGGCCTTAAATTTACTTCTTACATTGCTACTAAGACTTGGAATGCATTACCTGATAAGCTAAGATTAATGGCTGAATTTGGGCTTTTCAGGAATGAGATAAGAAAACTAAGTAATTTGTAATTTTATATCAAGTAAGAGAAAATAAGAACAATCTTAGGGGCAAAAACAAACTTGTTTTACCTGTAGCTATGACCACAACTTACGGCTTTAAATTGACTTCTTACATTGCTACTAAGACATCATCATTTATATCATCATTTACATTTAGGCTTATATTATTTTTAAACTCTGTAATTTATATTCATATATTTTTCTCGGTACATAAGCATCTCTATTGCTAGAGGCGTAACAAGCCTCATTTTCATCCGAGTTTAAATATCAAGTCATCATGCCGTATATACCTCAAACTTGGTTAGTAAGAGTACTATATGGCTGGCACTAGTGCATTGTTCTGACCATTTAAGTCCTAGACCTAACATAATTTATTTAAGCTACCAATATCAAAATTTGCCTGAAAATTACAAAATGGTAATATTAAAAATCAGTGTGCAATAATTGCCCTAACTAAAACATTACATACCCCTGGTCTTCCTTTTGTATCAGAGCTAGTCTTCCATAATCCCACACAAGTCGCCGAATGACACAGAACAAGATGAATACAATCTATAACATTACAAGAGAAATGACAATTAAACCACATCAAAAATCTAAAATTTTTCCTCCAGAAAAGCTTGCGGGGTTGAACAAATTTAATGGAGGAATTGAAATGAAGTAAAAAAACCTGAAACAAATACTATTAAGGTTTAATGCAATTAACTTGGAGAGTTCAACATTTTTCGTAAAGAGTGCTTGTTTTATCTTATTTTGGAAGTTGAAGAAGCTTTCCTGCTAGTTAAGTATGACATCTGCAAATGATCTCTGCATTCAGTACTGTGTTTACTTTAAGTATGCAATAATTAATATCAAAATAAAAAACAGAACATTACATTCCACTTGCAGAATCTGACATGACTTTGTCTCCTTCAATCAAACAATCAATATCATAATGCCATGACATGGGATAAGTTTACCTTTTAGGCTTAGAGCCAGTAGCTCTAAAACAAATGAAAATTACTATGGAATTACAAATTAAAGAAATGAAATAAAAGAATGATCTGTGATAAGCTATATAGTGAATTCAGAATGAAATACAATAAGAACGTAGATATTAAAATATAACTAAAACTAAATAATTACAAGCTAATGCTATCGATATTAACTGTTCAACAGATTCTTTGAACAGGAAAGTTTTGGAAATCCCCCAAAAAAAGTTATCTCAAAGGTTTCCTTTTCCCATAAATAAAGCAACACAACCCTAAACTTTGACACCAATATCCAACCTCTTACTTACATCAATGTTTGATATGTCACTTGTTTTGAACTTACAAATGCACCAAAAAACACGCAGGTAACAAAATATTAAAAAATGTTGATAAAAGTTATAACTTGACATAAACTGTGATAGGTTGAGAGGTCAAATGACCTCAACTTCTTGCAGAAAATGCTTAAACTAGACAACTGTGTTTAATACTAATAGAAAGCCAATTTCTTAAATGTGAAAGCTAAGTTAGTCATATAATGATCTTTCATTAATGATATTTCTCACTCAAAGATAAAGTTCATAACCTCATGTAGCCATGCAATATCCTCTATTTACTAACATGTCTGGAAAAAAATAACATTGTCTGTAAAGATATTTATAAGCAATATCATTATCACTTCTCAAATATGAAAAAAAAGGATAAAATCATAAAAGATTCCATTTAACAGAAGATGTAACTCAAATTTGGCCTCAATTTTTTGTGACAGAACAGATTTTCTCTTATAAATGGTACACCTTCTAACCATAACCATGTAATTACCATATTTTGAAAAAGGCAAAATTATTTCTCACAGTGTAAGGTTTTTTTGTTTGTTTATACCTGTAGCTGACCTCACTACAATATAAAACGTATGTATTGAATGAAAAAACAAAAATACAAAAAAAGCTAAATTTAGTTTTTCACTTGAGCTGCTAGATATCTTATTTCGAAACCAGGAACTTGTAGTAAAATTAGTTTATTACAGGGAGGCATTCCAGAGCCATACAGTTAAAAATAAAGAAGGAATTATCAAATCAAATTCACAGCAATTTTCAACAGTCAAAACAATTTGAATGGAAAAAAATATTTTGGATGTATTTCTTAAAACATAATAATATTTAATACCAAAAATTAAAGTACTCTTGTAAATACATATGAAAAATCTGAACCAACAACTCAAAAGGAAATTTCAATTTCCATTCATAAGAAAAGAAAATCTTTTGATGTATCTTTCGACAGACAAGTAATAAATCACAAAATTATTTTTTGCATAATGGATGAACAAAAGCCGGCATAATTCACCTGCTTCAATTCCTACAACAAAGAAATCGAATACTAGCTTGAGAGTAGTCTTTCGGGACAAAGATTTGAAAAACTGCCCGCTTTCTGAACCAAATTGTCTAATATTCGAACCGATAACTACTTGAAATCGCTATTTTTAATTCTGACATCTGTATAAAGGGGTACTCTGTATAAATGTAGTTGTACATCAAGTAGAGAGAGACAGAGCAGGTTGACTACACATGCAGGATTTGCGAATCACCATGTCCGTAATATGATTTCTTTTCAAGTTTCCGCTGCGGAATAATCATGTATCTCCATCGAAAAGAAGTTTGAAATATCTATTTGCTTCCCCAAAGTTGCAGTATTTGCGAGGAGTTCGGAAACAGAGAAACTGGATGCAGTTATTATTACTTTTTACGCGCGGCCGCCCGGAAAGGTCGACAAATGTTGCCTCGCACGATAACAAATGATAATCTCCAATAAACATTTTCAAATAAATAAAAAAATATGAGAGAGTTGTTTAAGACTGCCAGTTGGTGAAATTCCTCAAAGATCGGCCATCGACATATCGACCTCCAATCCGATCTAGCGAAATGTGAGCGACTAAATTTACATGTCTCCATTTTCATTCGTGCGGATCAGACCGAAGAGTTTAAATAAAAGTAAAGTACAGCAAGGCAAAAAAAATAAGACATAGTCTAAAAATTACAGCATCGAGATCAGAGATGACGCTTACCATCCATCCCAAGATATTCAACCCAAAATTTACGGGAATTCCTCCATCTTTTGCCATGTAATTTATCAACAGCTGTCTGTCGGAGGAATTCATGTTTGCACCTTTTGCGTCGTAGCATTTCGGTACAATATGCTGAGTTTTGTTCCCACCTTCAACATCAAATTCAAGGTAAAGGTCTGCCATACCACCAGCTTCAGCTAGAATCCACGTTTAGGAAAAAGGCTTCTAATAAAAATGAAGTCTAAAGAGGTGATACAGGCAAAAACATCTTTCGTCGGCCATGTTTGGGAAGACCCGCCTTTTATTATGCAATCTGCTGACCACAAATTTCCACATGACACAGTTGACATCCATTTGAACGGGGCGGTATAGCGATAAAAAAAATAAGAAGCAAAATGTAAAAGGAAATGAATGCAAAAAAAAAAAAAAAAGCAAATGACTTGGGTATGAAAAGTACTCTAAATCGTGATCGAACTTGATTTTTTTCTCTTTTACTTCATCCATCTGCGATTCCGTACAATCAACCGGGCTGGGCAACAATCATCTCCCCTGCACCTATCATTACAGACCCTTTTAGGGAACAAAACCAATATGTTCCATGACTGCTCGCACATTTGAAATAAAAAATTGTTTAGAAATTGGAAACACTGCAAACAGTGGCTAAAGGGGACAGCAATACCATGGAAACGCACCGGAAAGGTCAGAAAGGTCGAGTTCTGCCTTATTTTACAACTACTTTGGACTTTAGAATAGCGATCGGTAAAATTAACAATTTATATTACTCATCAATGAATCACGCGAACCCGTGAGGTTGGGTAACCTGTGCAGTTGCTAAAAGCAAAATTTTGCAAACCTATTTTTGGCGAAAATGAATGAGGAACGGGAATCAAGGATCAACGTTGTCTTGGTTTACAAAGCCGACAGGCAGAATTGAGTCAATGCGGAAAGAGACCACTTCATCTATAGGGAAATGAGAGTAACATATAATAAGATGGAATCTCATACTGATTCAGCAATGCTGAGATCGCAAATTTTACGTCTAAGCGATTTCTCAAATTGTTAACTCGAAGAGTTCTTTAGTTTTATTTAGCAAATTTATAAATTTTAAATTTATAACTTTTCAATTTATAACTAGTGCGAGGCTCACTAGTTTCTAGTTTGAGCACTCTGGCATGGCTTAAATGGTACCACAAAAACAAAAACAAAAATTGGAATCCTTTGGGGTGGCTTTAGATCATAGAGCTTCCCCCCCACCCCCTCTTGGAATCAGCACTGCACTAAGGAGGCCCAGAGGGCCGAAGCAGTATTGTCTGCAGTTAGATATAGCTCTTTGGCATACAAAGCTTTGCTTTCATGTCCAAATTGAGCACTCTATCTATCTATCGGCTCCCCTGGCAACAGGGAGGGTTGTCCGTGGTACATCCCCTCCAACAGGCGCGAGCCCTTAAACTCCGGTGGATTCCTTCGGTGGGCGACGCGACTTACACCCCTAAATGGGTCTATTTC